GGAAACCTGGGCTCCCATTCCCGTCTCCCGGTGTTCCATTCCCCCCTTCTCCTCTCCTGTATTCCCGGGAGCAGCTTGGATTCCCTTTTCCCTCTCCTAGTGTTCCAGGGAAGAAGCCCGAGCTCCTTTTCCCTCTCTCAGTGTTCCAGGGATGCAGCCTGGGCTCTTTCCATGTTCCAGGGAAGCATCCTGGGTTTCCTTTCCCTCTCCCGGTGTTCCAGGGAGCAGCTGGGACTCCCCCTCTCCTCTCACAGTTTCCAGGGAGCTACCTGGGCTCCTTTTCCCATCTCCCAATGTTCCAGGGAAGCACCCTGAGCTCTTTCCATGTTCCAGGGAGCAGCCCGGGCTCCTTTTCCCTCTCAGTGTTCCAGGGAAGCAGCCTGGGCTTCCCTTTTCCATCTCACGGCGTTCCAGGGATGCAGCCCAGGCTCCTTTTCCCATCTCCCAGTGTTCCAGGGAAGCACCCTGGGCTCTTTCCATGTTCCAGGGAGCAGCTTGGACTCCCCCTCTCCTCTCCGTGTTCCAGGCAAGCAGCCCAGGCTCCTTTGTCATCTCCTGGTGTTCCAGGAGCCATCCTGTGCTTCCCTTTCCTCTCTCCGTGTTCCAGGCTCCTCTTCCCCCTCTCCTGTATCCCAGGGGAACAGCCTGAACTCCCCTTTCCCTCTCACATTCCAGGGAGCAGCCCGGGCTTCCCCTTCTCCTCCCTCAGAAGATGTCCCCTGCACCCCGCAGGTGTCCCCTGCACCCCACTGGTGTCCCCTGCACCCCACTGGGGTCCCCTGCACCCCAAAGATGTCCCCTGCACCCCGCAGGTGTCCCCTGCACCCCACAGGTGTCCCCTGCACCCCGCAGTGGGGCTGGGGGTCACGGCCCCGCACAGCCCCGGCAGGGAGGGGATGCTGCTGTGGGAGGCACTTTTAGGGAATCCCAGAATCCTGAATCCTAGAACTCCAGAATCCCCAAATCCCAGAATCTAGGATTTCAGAATCCCAGAATCCTGAGTCCTAGAACTTCAGTATCCCAGAATCCCAGAATCCCCAAATCCCAGAATCCAGGATCTTAGAATCTCAGAATGCCAGAACTCAGAATCCCAGAATCTGAGAATCCCAGAACCCAGAATCCCCAAATCCCAGAATCCAGGATTTCAGAATCCCCAAATCCCAGAAATCCAAATGCCAGAATCCAGAACATCAGAATCTCAGAATTCCAGAACCTGAGAATCCCAGAATCCCCAAATCCCAAAATCCAGGATTCCAGAATCCCAGAATCTCAGAGTCCAAAATTCCAGAATCCCAGGTTCCAGAATCCCAGAATCCCACAATCCAGATCCCAGAAATCCACAATCCCATAATCCAGAACCCTAGACTCAAGAATCCCAGAACCCAAAACCCCAGAATCCCAAAATGCCTGAATCCCACAATCCCAGAATCTCAGAATCCAAAATCCCATATTCCCACAGTCCAGAATCCCACAACCCAAACCCCCAGAACCTCAGAATTCCAGAAGCCCAGATCCCAGAATTATTTATGTTGGAAAAACCCTCCAAGGTCACCAAGCCCAAGGACCCGTGCCCGGTCCCCAACCCAGAGCCCTGAGTGCCACATCCAGGAATTCCCTGGACACCTCCAGGGATGGGGACCCCAACACTTCCCTGGGAATCCCATCCCAAATTCCAGTGGAATTTTCACGCTGGGATTAGAAGAACCAGGAGACGCTGATGGGTTTGGGCTCAGTGCCGGGCACCAAAAACCCCAAAAACGGAGTTTGGGTTCTGGGCTGGCTGCCGCCTCATCCCATGGGAAGGGCTGGCATTCCTGCCTTTTTTTCAGGAATGATTTCAGCTTCCAGGCCTGGATCACTCTGCTTTTTCTGGAAACCCTCCGGGGAGCGGCAAGAATGGCCGGAAGCGCCGTCGGCCGCTCGTTCCCTCCCGCAGGAAACGCCCGCGGCCCTTCCCGGCCCCGCGGCCGCGTCCTTGGGATGATCCCGCCTGGAAAAGGGACTGCGGCTCCCGGGGCGCCCGGGAATCCGGGATGAGGCCTGCGGGGTCCTCCCCGTGTGGTTCCCGATCCTTTGGAGGGTCCCTGGGGGATCCCGTAGGGATGGGAGATCCCAGAGCTCTCCCTGGTGTCGCTGCCATCCTCAGGGGACAGGGGGGCGGCAGCGCGAGGTGACGATTTTTCCGGATCCGTGGATGAGTTTTGTTTTCCCGGAAAAACTGGGGCTGGTTTGGGGTATTTTCCTCGGGAATTTTCTGGAAAAATGTGAGGGTTGGGATGGGAACAAGAATCCCAGGATCCAGGGTCCTTGGGAGTGTGAGGTTTGGGATGGAACGAGGGTTCCTGGATTCTTGAGAATGTCGGGGTTGCAATGGGAATGAGAATCTCAGGATCCTTTGGGAATGGGAGGGTTGGGATGTGAAGAATCCCAGAACCCAGAATCCTTGGGAATGTCAGGGTTTGGATGGGACAAGGATTCCAGGACCAAGGATCCTTTGGGATTTGAGGGTTGGGATGGGAACAAGGATCCCAGGATCCTCGGGAAAGCCAGGGCTGGGATCCTGCCGGCTGCAAACCTCCCGGATCTCTGGCACAATTCATTCCCTGTGCCGAGTTGAATTTCTTGGGGGCCGATGAAAAACTCTGGAATCTTCTCCCTCCCCTTCCCAGGAGGAGAATCTCCTCCTGCCAGCATCCCATTTCTCTTCCTGGCGCCTCTGGAATCGCTGGATGCGCATTCCCAGGGCTGGAATTCCAGCCGGGCGAGCCCTGAAGAAGGGCTGGAGAGCAGGAAAATCCCTCCCGGTGCTGCCGTGACCCCCGGAGCCACCCCGGGAGCGCCTCCCCCTCCGGAACCTCTGGATCCGGCTGGGAATTCTCTCCTTGGTGCTTCCTGCCAGGCAGGGAAGCGTTTCCTCCCCTTCAGCGCCGGATCCCACGGGATTTTCCGCTCCCGCTCAGGATGTCACGGCTCTTATCTCACTCCCCTCTCCTCTCCCAAATCCCGAGGTGGCGATTCCGCCTTTTCCTCCCCCTTCCCGCGAGTTCTCCTCGCCCTTTGGTCGCTCTTCCCTCCTGTTTTGGGTTTTCCTGGGATTTGTGTTTTATGGGAAGCTCAGGCTGGGAAGGCCTGGGCTGCTCCCTGTCCTTTCCTGGCTCTGGAGCAGCCAGAATCCGGAATTTTGGGGTGTTCCTGCTGGGAAGGAGCCTGTGGCGGTGTTTTCCCTCATCCCAAAACCAGGATTCACTCGGGGAGCTTGGATGTCCCTACAGGCAGAGCATTCCCTGGATATTCCCAGGAACCTTTCTGTAGATCCTACAAATCCCAGCGCCACTTCCCTGCCCCCAGAAGTGTCCCCTGAGCTGGCCCAGCGGGTGACAGCGGCAGCCGCGGCCGCTCCGGCCCCTCGGGAATTCCGCCAGCGTCATTTTCCACACCAGCCGCGACTTCTCCAGGTGCAGGAAGGAGGAAACCTTGGGAAACATTCCCAGGATTCCGGCCAGACACCTGCGTGGCGCTCCAGGAGTTTTGGGGCACAAAGGATGCCCTGGGCACGGCCCTTTTCCCCCCTTTTCCCCCCTTTTCCCCCCCTTCCCGGCTCGCAGCAGCTGCGGCGCTCGGAGAATTCCCAAGCCATGCATTTTTAATTCCCCAAGAACCAGCAGCCATTTCAGCGCCCGCCCCGAGCGCAGCTTTGGCGGCGGCGAGCGGCCCCAGAGGCTCCCTGGATGTTCCCATTCCCTGGATGCCCTTCCCGAATTTCCGGGCTGGAGGTGGGCGCCGGCCCCGAGGAGGAAGGGAAAGGGGAGACCCCCGTGGGGACGTTCAGGGCTGGTGGCACCGAGGGGAGGCTGGGAGTGAGCCGGGAGAGGATCCCGCTGGTCCGGGGTGGGAAGAGTGGATCCCACTGGTCTGGGGTGGGAAAAGTGGATCCCGCTGGTCTGGGGTGGGATTGGTGCTGGAGGATCCCACTGATCCAGAGTGGGAAAAGTGTGGGGAGAACCCCACTGATCCATGGTGGGATTGGTGCTGGAGGATCCCACTGATCTGGGGTGGGAAAAGTGGAGGAAGCAATCCCATTGATCCAGAGTGGGAAAAGTGTGGGAAGAGCCCCACTGATCCATGGTGGGATCGGTGCTGGAAGATCCCACTGATGCGGGTGGGAAAAGTGAGTATCCGACTGATCTGGGGTGGGAAAAGTGGAGGAAGCAATCCCATTGATCCAGAGTGGGAAAAGTGTGGGAAGAGCCCCATTGATCCAGAGTGGAGAAAGTGGAGGATCCCACTAATCCAAGGTGGGATTGGTGCTGGAGAATCCCACTGATCTGGGGTGGGAAAAGTGTGGGAAGAACCCCACTGATCCATGATGGGATCGGTGCTGGAAGATCCCACTGATGCAGGGTGGGAAAAGTGGAGGATCCCACTGATCCGGGGTGGGAAAAGCATCCATGGTTCCTGCTGAGCCAGGTCCTTGCATCCATCATCCCTCTCCCTGATCCCTGGGATGTTCCCTGGGGCTCTCACTGGGACAGCACGGGATAAGGATGGGCTCCTGTGGTGGGAATTCTCGGGATAAGGATGGGTTTGTCTGTCAGGAATTCTCGGGATAAGGATGGGTTTGTCTGTCAGGAATTCTCGGGATAAGGATGGACTCCTCTGTCAGGAATTCTCGGGATAAGGATGGACTCCTCTGTCAGGAATTCTCGGGATAAGGATGGGTTTGTGTGTCAGGAATTCTCGGGATAAGGATGGGTTTGTGTGTCAGGAATTCTCAGAGCTCAGAATTTGACTTCCTTGTGACACCAGAGGTGCCCTTCCCTGTCCCTGCTGTCCCTTTTCTGGGAATTCTCCCATTGCCACCCTCCTGCCACCCGCGGTGCCCACGGATGCATTCCCAGCGTTCCCGTTCCCGGGAATGCTCTGACCTATCCCCTCTGTCCCCCGCAGGTGGATGAGGAGGGAGCTCTGTGAGCCCGGCCCGTGACTCTCCTGCCAGGTGAGCCTTTCCTGGGAATGCGGCTGGGAATGGCCCTGGGGCAGGGATCCAGCTGGGAATGGCCCTGGAACGCGGGATCCAGCCGGGAAACTCCTCTGGGGATCAGGAGTGGGAGATGGGGGCAGGAATGAGAAAAACTGGGAAAGGGTGAGAAAAACATACTGGGAAAGGCTGGGAAAAAACTGGGAAAAGCTGGAAAAGGCTGACCGGGCTCAGAGCGGTCCCTGCAGGCAGTAACAGGAATGGGAAAAGGCTGGAAAAGTTGGGAAGGGCTGGGAAAAACTGGAAAAGGCTGGAAAAGACTGGCAGGGCTCAGAGCGGTCACTGCGGGCAGGAATGGGAATGGGAAAAGTAGGGAAAGGCTGAAAAAAAAACTGGGAAAGGCTAGGAAAAGCAGGAAAAAGTTGGGAAAAGCTGAAAAAGACTGGGAAAAGCTGGAAAAACTAGGAAAGGCTGGAAAAAACTGGCAGGGCTCAGAGCAGTCCCTATGGGCAGGAATGGGAATGGGAAAAACTGTGGGAAAGGGTGAGAAAAACATACTGGGAAAGGCTGGGAAAAAACTGGGAAAAGCTGGAAAAGGCTGACCGGGCTCAGAGCGGTCCCTGCAGGCAGTAACAGGAATGGGAAAAGGCTGGAAAAGTTGGGAAGGGCTGGGAAAAACTGGAAAAGGCTGGAAAAGACTGGCAGGGCTCAGAGCAGTCCCTATGGGCAGGAATGGGAGTGGGAAAATCTGGAAGAGGCTGGGAAAGGTTGGAAAAGGCTGGGAAAAGTTGGAAAAGGCTGGGAAAAGCTGGCAGGGCTCAGAGCACTCCTGGCTCAGGTGTGGAGAGTTGAGGGCAGGAATGGGAATGGGAAAAGTTGGGAAAAGCTGGGAAAGGCTCCGAGCGGTGCCGGCTTTGAGCAGGAGCGGCTGCGGCTCTGGATGTGCCACCAGCAGGAAAATCCCACGGGAATGTGGCTGGGCAGGAGCCGTGGGGATTCCCCCGGACCCTTTGGAAGTGCCGGCTGCTCCTGGCACCGGTGGCACTGGGATGGGGACAGGGAGGGGACAGATGTCCCAAGGAGGTGACAAAGGAAAAGTGTCCGGATCCTCCTGATCCAAACCCTCCCTCCAGGGGGTTTTTCCTTAGGGATTTTCCCAATCTCTGCCCCGACTTCTTCCTGTGGCCCTCAGAGCTCCTGTTCCTGGAAAAGATCCTGATCCCAATCCTAATCCCAATCCTGATCCCAATCCTGATCCCAATCCCAATCCTGCTCTCAATCCCAAACCTGATCTTAATCCTGATCAACCCCAATCTCAATCCCAATCCCGATCCCAATCCCAATCTCAATCCCAAACCCAGTCCTGATCCTGATCCTGATCCTGATCCTGATCCCAATTCCAATCCCAAACCAGCCCCAGGACTTTCTGCTGTTCCTGCCTGGAGCTGTTCCTGGCGCTGGGAATCATTGGGATTTGGGATTCCAGCTCCTGTCCCCAGGCTGATCCCATCCCATCCCATCCCATCCCATCCCATCCCATCCCATCCCATCCCATCCCATCCCATCCCATCCCAGGGATGCACTGGGAATTCCCGCAGGGACACCCCAGGAGCTCCTGGTCCCTTCCCTGCCCGTGTCAGGCTTTGGGATGAAATCCTGGGAACCGGGGGTCAAACCAAGGAACGGGAATTCCAGCAGAGCCCAGGGGGCTTCTCCCGGCTCCAGCCTAATCCCAGAACCTCTGGAATGTGCTCCCAGTGCTTTATTCCCGGGCATTCCAAACGCCGTTTTCCCACTCCAGGCGCTGCAGGCGCTTCCCCGCCGGCTGTGGGAGGGAATGCGGGAACGTGGGAATGCGGGAATGTGGGAATGCGGGAACGTGGGAGCTTTCCCAAGCTGTTCTCCCTCTGGAATGCGTCTGGAGTCTCCCGCTGGTGCCAGACTCGCGGGATCTCACGGCAGGGTGACGGCGCCGTTCCCGCATTCCCTGGATTGCTCTGGGGTTTCTCCATAATTCAGGGATTTCTTCCTGATTCCCAAAATTTCTCCTTGATTCCTGAGATTTTGCCCTAGTCAGAATTTCTCAGCGATTCCTCGAATTTCTCCCTGATTCCCTGGATTTCTCCCCGCTTCCCAGAATTCCTCCCAGATCCACGGAATTTCTTTGTGATTCCCTGGGTTTCTCAGTGATTCCCAGAATTTCTCCCCAGTTCCTGGGATTTCTCCCTGATTCCTGGAATTTCTCCCTCATTCCCAGAATTTCTCCCCAATTCCTGGGATTTCTCTGTAATTCTTAGGATTCCTCCCTGATTCCCACGATTTCTCCCTGATTCCTGGGATTTTGCCCCAATTCCTAGAATTTCTCCATGATTCCCATAATTCCTCCCCAATTCCCGGAATTTCTCTCTGATTCCCGGAATTTCTCAGATTCCCGGAATTTCTCCCCAATTTCTGTAATTTCCTTGCTATTCCCATCATTTCTCTCTGATTCCTGGGATTTCTCCACGATTCCCATAATTCCTCCCCAATTCCCAGAACTTCTCTCTGATTCCTGGAATTTCTCCTCAGTTCCCAGAATTCCTTCCCAATTTCTATAATTTCTCCTCAATTCCCAGAATTTCTCTCTGGTTACCTGAATTTCTCCTCAATCCCTGTAATTCCTCCCCCAATTCCCAGAATTCCTCCCCGATTCCCATAATTTCTCTTCAACTCCCAGAATTTCTCTCTGATTCCCGTGATCCCTTCCAGTTCCCAGAATTTTTCCCCGATTCCCGCAATTCCCCCCAGATTCCCGGAATCTCTCCGCGATTCCCGGAATCTCTCCCCGGAATTTCTCTCTGATTACCCGAATTTCTCCTCAATTCCTAGAATTTCTGATTCCCAGAATTTCTCCCCAATTCCTGTAATTCCTCCCCCAATTCCCAGAATTCCTCCCCAATTCCCATAATTTCTCTTCAGCTCCCAGAATTTCTCTCTGATTCCCGTAATCCCTCCACGATTCCCGGAATTTCTCTCTGATTACCCGAATTTCTCCTCAATTCCTAGAATTTCTGATTCCCAGAATTTCTCCCCAATTCCTGTAATTCCTCCCCCAATTCCCAGAATTCCTCCCCGATTCCCATAATTTCTCTTCAACTCCCAGAATTTCTCTCTGATTCCCGTGATCCCTTCCAGTTCCCAGAATTTTTCCCCGATTCCCGCAATTCCCCCCAGATTCCCGGAATCTCTCCGCGATTCCCGGAATCTCTCCGCGCTTTCCGTCTCCAGTTCCCGGGATTTCCCGGTGACCCCCGGCGCTTCCCGGCCGTTCCCGGGTGCCGTTTCCCGGGATTAGCGCCGAGCAGATGGAGCGGGGCTGATCCCATTAGCGGCCCGCCCGGGGGGGCCGCGCTCCCGCCTTCCCCGGGATGTTTTTCCCGGCTGGAAAAGCCCGGATCCAGCCCTGGGTGGCTCCCAGCCCTCGGGCAGCGCGGAATTCCCGGGAACAGGTGAGATCCAGCTGCCGGGATGGGCGGCACCGACGCTCCCGTGGAATTCCCGGAGATTCCCGGTGGTTTGGGGGCAGCGGGGACAGGGCCACGCCAGGCCTGGCAGTGCCACCAGCGAGCTGTCCCGGGTGGCACCAGCGGGATTTCCTGGGATGAGAGCGGGAATTGTGGGAGCTGCCAGGTGGGATTTGTTTGTCCCCGTGTCCCTGGTGGCATCTGCGGGCTCTGGGGTTGTCCCTGCGCGGCTCCCGGCCTGCTCCTCTCCCGATCCTTGGGAATGTCGCTGCTCCAGGCGGGAGCTGCGGGACAGGAGGGGCTGTCCCCATCCAGGGATCTCTGGGATCTCTGGGATCTCTGGGATCTGTGGGTCCTGGAATGCTCCAGCCCTGCCAGGGATTTCCCGTGTCCCGTCCAAGCACAGCTCTGTCCCCTTTGTCCCTTTTGTCCGCCCTGTCCCCAATCCCTGTCCCATCTGTCCCTGTGTCTCCTCTGTCCATGTCCCCCCTGTCGCTGTCCCGTCTGTCCCCTCTGTTGCTGTCCCTCTGTCCCCATTCCTGTCCCTCTGTCCCCTCTCTCTGTCCCGTCTGCCTCTCTGTCCCCTTGTCCCCTCTGTCCCCTCTGTCCCTGTCCCCATTCCTGTCCCTCTGTCCCCTCTGTTGCTGTCCCCATTCCTGTCCCCCCTGTCCCCCTGTTCCTCTGTCTCTTTCCCCATTCCTGTCCCTCTGCCCCTCTGTCCCTGTCCCCCCTGTCCCCGTTCTCATTCCTGTACCCCCTGTCCCCCTGTCCCTGTCCCTCTGTCCCCTCTGTCCCTGTCCCCATTCCTGTCCCTCTGTCCCCATTCCTGTCCCCCTGTCCCTCTGTCCCCATTCCTGTCCCCCTGTCCCTCTGTCTCTTTCTCCATTCCTGTCCCCCTGTCCCTCTGTCCCCCTGTCCCTCTGTCCCCGCGGGTGCGCAGGTCCCGCAGTGCCGCGCGTGGCGCTGTGGTTTCCATGGTGACGGTGCCGGGAATGTTCCCATGGATACGGAGCGGGGTGGGGGAGCCCCGAAGCGGGGGGGCATTCCCAAAACCGGGGGACATTCCCGAAACCAGGGGGACATTCCCAAAATCAGGGGGACATTCCCGAACCCGGGGGGCATTCCCGAACCCGGGGGGACATTCCCAAAACAGGGGGACATTCCCAAAACAGGGAGACATTCCCAAAACAGGGGGACATTCCCAAAACAGGGGGACATTCCCAAAACCGGGGGGACATTCCTGATCCATTCCCGATCCAGGGGGACATTCCCGATCCAGAGGGGCTGTTCCCGGGATGGGGGAGGTCACGGGGGAGGCCCCAAATCTGTGGCCTGTCCCCAAAATCTGTGACCTGTCCCCAACCCCTGTCCTGTACCCAAATCTCTCTCTTATCCCCAAATCTGTGTCCTGTCCCCAAATCTGTCCTGTCCCCAAATCCCCTTTTTTGTCCCCAGACTCCTGTCTTGTCCCGAAATCTTTACGGGGGAGGCCCCAAATCTGTGGCCTGTCCCCAA